GAATCAGGCCATAGTCTTTGTAATTGCTTGAGCTGGATAATGACTAGGAATAATAGAAAAAGAACTGATGCCTTTGAGCTGTTGTGCTAGAGAAGAGTGCTGAATATACCATGGACTGCTAGGAGAACAAACAAGTTTGTCCGGGAGAGGGTGAAGCCAGGCTGCTCCTTGGACGTAAGGATTCTGAAGCTTCATCTGACATACTTTGGACATGTTACAAGGAGGTCCTTAGAGAGGGACGGCATGCTTGAGAGGGTGGAGCGACAGTACAGGAGAGAAGGACTTTTGATGAAAAGGACTGATTTAGTGACTGGGATAATAAGGGTAGGTGTGTCAGAGAAAATAAGATTGGCACTGGATAGAGCAGGATTTAGGGCTGTTATACACAGGGTTGCTAAGAGTTGCAAGCAAATCAACGGCACATAACAACAGTAATATACATACAGGTCTACATTACAGTAGAGGGAACAGAAGCATAAGGGGGCTGCGGCTAAGCATACTCCATTTGATCACACTTTACTGTGTACACAGGTAAGGCACGTGTTTTTAAAAACTGAACTCTTACAGCACCCCTAAACTGAGTAAATCTATCAGCACCATTTCCCCAATACAATGTACTTACTTCCTATCTCTGTGCCACATTTTGAGAATTCTTGCAATATTTCAAACTTTTTCATGGTGCTATTGCACTTAGCTGTCTAACGTGTAGCACAAATGTGCCCTGGGAAGTGAAAAAGCTCAGATGTCTCGCTTTTACAGCAATACCTGCTTTACCGGGAGGGTGTGGAACTGAACTTGTAGTATCACTAAAGCATGTCTATAACCTGCCCCAAGGACAGATCTTGTAGCAGGGAGGGGAAAATCAGCTCAAACACAGGTCTGTTTGCTACTTAAGTATGTATCTTTCTCACCAGACTGCACCTGTAAGATGTGATCTCGACTCTATTATTCCTACCCTCAGGAAGGCAGTGCTGTGTGGATGGGCAGGCAGGACTCAGCTACTTCAACCAAGTCTTCTGCCCAGACTCCTTTCATTACCTGAGAAATGCCAAGAGTGGTGAGTGCTCAGTGCAATGGCTAGCTTGTTGGAGATTACGAGTGTTATCAAGAAGAAAGAGAATTCATCACAAAAGATAAAAATTGCAATGTGAGACTAACAGCATGATGTTGTTAGGGGCTGCTGAGTCAAGTATGGTTCACAGTAACCCTATGCACAACAGGTCTGAACCCTGTTCTATCCTTACCATCTCTGAAACAGTGGAGCTCACTATCGCAGGCACTGCGTCAATCCATATTGCTGAGGATTTCCCCTTATTTCTCTGACCTTCCCAAGCATGATGTCCAAGGAACAACAATGTGCCAAAGTATGTGATGCAAAGTCTCGCCATCCATGCCTCTAAGGAACATTCTGGCTACACTTTCTCCAAGACAGATCTGTTTGTTCTTTTGGCAGTCCATGGGATGTTCAGTACTATTCTCCAACACCACAACTCAAAAGCTTTGATGATCCTTCTGTCATTATTCACTGTTCAGCTCTCATCAGACCCCTAGCAAGTAACTGAAAGGGTCATGGCCTGAATGAGGCACACTTCAGTCTTTAAAGTGGCATCATAGCTCCTTAGTAAATTTGGAGATGTCTCTGACAGTAGGCTTTACCAATGAAAGGACATCTTGATTTCTTAACTGCTAATACCAAAGGTGCTGACTGTGGATCCAAGTATTTCAATCTTTTCTCCATCTACGATGATATTGTCTATCAGTCCACAGTGAGAATTTTTGTTTTCTTTATTTTTAGATGCAATCCATATTGAAAGCTGTATTCTCTGATCTTCTGCAACAAGTGTTCCAAGTTCTCTTCACTTTGAGCAAGCAAAGATGTGTCTGTCATCTGCACAGCACAAGTTGTTGATGAGCCTTCCTCCAATCCTGATGCCACAATCTTCTTCATAAGCTTCACAAGCTGCTTGAGTTATTTGCTCAGCAAACAGACTGAAAGAACATGATACTACTGTGACCACAGTTTCCAGGAATGAGAAAAGCCAAGTGGTTAGAGGAATGGAGATTTGCTTTTAAAGGTGGCGAGAATTTGGTGAAAGAGCTGATGAAGTATGGGTCTGGGCTAGAAAACTAGGCTAGAAAGAGATTCTATGACATGAATACTGAGTTTTCTCTGTCTCTTAATCTTCAGTTAAATGCTGAGTTTACAGTAACATATGTGGCAGGAATTTAAGGGCAAACAGCCTCAGATTACAAAAAGGTTTTGGAATCAAACAGATATGAGTTCAAATTTTAGCCCTGGCATGTGACACTATAAATTTTCTTTAACTTCTATAAGCTTCAGGTGAGGTGAGAGTTGCAATTAATTCTCGTAGAATTGGTGTGAGGATTAAATTAGGTGTTACTTGTAAAAGGTTCAAGTGTTCTCAGTTCTATTATCTGGGTATAGCCTAAAACCCAAAAGCACAGGGCAGAAGAGAAATAAAGCTGGGGGTCAACACAGGGAAACAAAATGAGAAGTCCGTTGGGCAAGACAAGGCAGCTGGAGAGAATGGCATGATGTGATGCTCCCCAGTGATGCTGTGGATGCTTCTCCACCAAGGGTGTGAACACAGGACCCACCACGGCCTAGGATCTTAGGAGGCTGCTGGTGTGGCGACACCCCTCATTCACTAGAGGAACACCAGCCCAGATGCTGCTCCTTCCCGAGGCCATGGTGGGTCCATGTACTCGGCATCCTCTGTCCACAGCATCCACACCAGCTCAATGTTACCTTCCTAACCACTCTAGCTGGTAAATCACTTCTCAAAAATTACAGAAAAGCAACAAACCTTACCTATGGATCTATCAAATTTCTTCTTTTAACTCTGAGCACCACAATGGTTTCTGCTTTGTCCTTGACTACAATTTTAAGCTCTAAGCCAGGAGAAAAAGCCTTCAGCAATGGGCATGGACTGAGAAGGGGCACATTTAGGGGACAGAGAAAAGTTCAGTAGCTAAGAGCATGTGAATGCTTCCTCCTACCCCAAAATCAAGGATGGGGAAAATAGTACATAAAGCCTGGACTAGCAAGAGTGCCAAGCTAAGACATCCTGGAACCTGAACAAAACGAACAGTCACATTCAGCCTTTCTCTAGACTTTTATTATTTTACTCACCATGGATCTTTTTTTATTCTTTCTGATTTTCAAAATATGTATCTTTTTTTTTTTTTTTTTAAATTTTTGTGAGAGTGTACCGTCAAATCAGATCTGACTGGTACAGGAGGAGATTGTCTCTCCTTTCCTGGCAGAGCATCTGGTGGATTTGAACCATGCGCCTCTGGGATTGTAGTTGCAGCTCCTTGCCACCAGGATACCAGAGCTCCCTGAAATATGTATCTTAAAAGTAGTATCTGAAACTAGTGGCTCCCTCATCTCACCCAGACTCAGCCTAATTTGTTTGACTTATTCCCTTGACCCTAGCACATACAGAGGTGCTTGGCAAATTGTGGGCAAGCAAACAAATGTGAAAAGAGAGCTTGAGTGGTGTCAGAAAGTATATCCCAAGACTCCTTTTATCCACCTCTAAAGGAAACCTCTATACCCCGAGACTGAGCACAAGGAAGTGGAATATTCTAACACAAGCACTGAAGGCAGCCCAGAGACTGGATCAATGCTGGGATATGAACCCAGCTTCTCTTGGGCAGACCCCAGTGTCATCTCGGGGGAGCCCTTTCAGATCTATCTCCTGTTCCCACCACTGGTCTGTTAACTCTGAGGAAATAGGATGCAAGACAAGTCTAGGATAATTTCCCACTTTAAGGTTCTTTTTTACTTTGATTTTAAACCTTTTTCCCCCCTCAAGAAATATCAGAGTCATAAAAGCCAAATCAAGCATTTTTAGCTGGAAGTGGAGAAGTCAGGACTCTGCAACTTGCATCAGCTAGTGAAATCTTTTCTTTAAATGAAACATCCACAATGGAACCAAAGGAGAACATACAATGAAAATTAGCAGCTGTTTGTAATCATAAAATGGCATAAAAAAGTTACCTAAAAATTTCTAAAATATCTAAAAATGTGATGATAAGTGAATAAATTACAGGCTATCCCTGTGTAGCAGATTTACAAAGATTTTTAACTCAAATTGTAGAGTTCAAATAACTAAGGGAAAAGCAAATTAAGTCGTTAGATACAGTTTGATCCAAACATTCTTAGCGCACAGATATACATTTTTCACCACTAAGTATTCACAGCTGTTACACCTGGCTGATTAATACTGGAGATTTTAATTGGGTCTTTATACATTATTATAGTTTCCACATTTTGCTACAATCCATATGCATGGCTTATATACGTCTCCCGATAACTCTAATATTGATGCTTATGGTAGAATTCTTTACATTAACATGAAGAAGAAAGATTCTGGGTTGGTTTAAAGGGACAGTCTCCTTCTGTAGAGATTTACAGCTTTAAAAACCAGACAAAGGGTCATCGCAGTCAGAAATGACTCAAGGGCAGCAGGTTTGGTCTTAGTTTGCTCTGCAAGAGACCGCAAGCAGAAGGCTTCCACGAAGAGGATGCCCAGCTGAAGGCAGGAAGGTACAGATAAGTCGCCATGGTCAAGTCCTGCACACCTGCACCTCCCGTAGAATAGAAAGGGGTGCCTAACATTGTATCCACTGCTGACCGGCCACTCTCCTTCCCTGGGGACTGGGAACAGTACCAGCCCAGGTGTGTGAACCCAGTCAGTCCCTCCTAAGGAGGCTCCTATACTCCTGGGACATCCCACAACACAAACCCAACTGCGCTCCAGCATGCTCTTCTGTTTAGGAAGAGCAGGAAGCAGCACAGGAGCGAGGCATGGATCTGTTATCGTCCACATACAGTGTTCCTTCCCACATATATACTCTGAGGGTCAAGGGGAAGGAGGGACAGTGCAATGGAAGGCTGTCTCAAAGCTCTCCACACCCCACGCCCCAATCCCACCTCCTCTGCCCCCCAAAAGTTTGAGAGAAGCACTTACACTTCCTGTAGATTTGTTAAGTCTTCAAAATCAGCAGGGTCAATCTCAGAAATCTTGTTGTAACTCAGGTTTCTGGTAAAAAAGAGGGGGGAATACTATTGAATCACCACTTGGCATTTTACCCAAGTTTCAAGAATTTTTTTCCTGTACACGCAGGCGCACACACACACACAAACACACACACACACACACACACACACACACACACCCCACCCTCAGGATTTTTCTAACTCTTATTATTCTAAGTAACCTTACTGATATTGAAATATAAAGAAAAACCTCTTGCCTACTTACTTTCATAAATTAGTTGCTCAGTAGCAATGCTGTGACAATTTCAAATCAGGTGAGTCTGGCTAAACCAGAACGAATTTGAATCAATACCATTTCACCACTGAGAACTCAGGGGGAAATAAATCTAAGGTGAGCCAGTGCTCTACCTGCATTAGAGTCCTGGTCTAAACACTTTGGACTGTATCAAGTCCAAGGCTATTCTTAGTGGGATTTTTTTTTTTAATTAATGTCTTACTAAAGCATCAACTAACACCAAGAAGCAATAAAGGAAGACAGAAGCGAGGCTGACCCTTCACTGTCTGCACCAGTGGTGCCCAGCTACAGTCAACTTTGCTCCCAGGGCACATGTGGCAACGTCTGGGCACAGTTTTCAGCAGCAGGGTGTGGTGGTGGTGGCCAAGTGGGTACAGGTCAAGGATGCTGCCAAGCATCCTACAATGCACAAGAAGGTACCCCCACAACACTACCCCACCCAGTGGTGGAGTTTGACACACGCTGGGCTCCTATCACAAAAGGTCAGTGGTTCAAATTCAATAGCCACTCTCAGAAAGAAAGATGGTCAATCTCCTCCTTTAAGACTTTACAGCCACCTACAAGCAGGAGAGACTAAAATAGATGAGAGGGATCTTCTAAGAATCAAATTCCTATGCACATCCAAAAACGTTTCCAACAACGTAAAAAGGAAAGCCACAGACTAGGGAAAAATTCTGGTAATGGCATGCCTGGTAAGGGACTTATATCTAGAATTTATAGAATACTCCTGCACCTCAACAAGACAAAGGTAAACCACCCAATCGCAAAAAGGGCACAGGATATGAACAGACACTTCATCAAAGACGACATTCAGATGGGAAATAAACAAATGAAGAAACGTTCAAAATCCCTAGCTCAAAATAACTATGAGATATCATCTCACCCCAGTAAGGAAAGCAAAGTTCAACAGAGTAGCAAACAACAAATGCTGGGGAAGTTATGGAGAAACTGCAACCCTTATTTACTATTGGTGGGAGTGTAAAATGGTGCAACCACTATGCAAGGCAGTATGGCATGTTCTCAAAGAGTTGGAAATAGAAATACCATTTGACCCAGCACTTGCACTACTGGAAATATACCCTAAAAAAACCAGAGCTGACACCCAAACAGATATATGCACTGCACACCCAAGATTATTGCTGCATTGTTCACAATAGCAAAGAGATGGAAGCAACCCAAGAGTGATCAACAAATTAATAGAGAAGCTATGACAGATTCACACAATGAAATATTATGCAGCACTGAAAAACAAAAAATTCATATTCTATAAAACGGGTGACCCTGGAGGACACTACACTGAGTGAAATATCTATGTCACAAAAGGACAAATATTGCATAATGCCACTGTTATAAACAGGACTGATATGGGGGTTGGGAGGAAACTAAGAAAAGATAGGATAAATAATGAACACTGCATTGAAACAGATGAGGGAAAGGAATGTCTTAAAAATAGTCAAGTATTATTTGCATGACAACAGCTTAAAATAAGAGGTGCATAACAAAGTGGACTGGGGCAGGGTGAGGGAGAGAGGAAACTGTGCAACAATGGTAGAATCTTTTTAAAGAGAAAATGGAACTAAGGGGTAAGGAGGAAAATATACAGCAATGAATGAATGGAAACCCAAGTTTTCTGTAAACTTTTGTTAAAATATCAATTTGAAAAAAATTTTATTAAAAAACCACCACACAATAAAATGTAATGAACTATTTGTGCAGACAAGGGGGGAAAAAAGAGTTTACAGCCTGTACACCCAATAGAGGGTCCCTATGTGCTGGAATCTACTCAAGTGAACTTGGCTTGGGTTTTTAAATGTTAGTGGCACTGAGAGGTTGGGAAACTGGTTTACACAAGAACCCAAGACTAGAAGGCACTTAGATACACAATGATTGTTCACTTCCTAAATAATCCACATGACTGTTTAGGAAGTAAACACCACAGATCCTAGAATCATAAACATATTTATAAACATTATTTTTACACCATCAATTAATAATTATAGGAGCACATCACACAGAAGTTGGAGTCACAGTCATTGGGAATTAATGCAGGTGCTGACCAGACAAGAGCTGGGAAAACCTCCCATGGGTGCAGCCTTCTAAGATGAGACTTACTTTGTATGGTGAGTAGTATTTTAGACTCTCATTCCTCACCAAGACGTCCCCCGAAAAGCACGGAGGTGTGTGCACAGCTCAGCCTCTTTGGCCACACTTTCAACCTAGACCAGCTCCTTTCCTCCGGAGGAGGACCCCAAAGACATGACCTAGTGGGCCCTGACTTCTCACTCTACACAGCCCCTTGCTCATAGCTACCAAAGTGCACCCAGCCCTGTGTGTGCCAAAGGACGCCAGTGCTTTTCATCTCAGCTACTAACTGATTCCTTTGTTCATGCCTGCCTGCCTGCCTGCCTGTCTGCCACTCAACAGTTTTACTAATCAATGAGTTTAAAGTCTATCTTTAAAAGCTGTGTCACATAGGTGGCAAATGTCCTAAATTCACTCCAGAGACATCTGAATCAATACCAGCCTGGAGCTGATACTCATTTCACTGTGACTGCAAAGACATTCATCCACATAAAAGTCAAGCTGCACTTAAAACTAATGGTACGTCTGTGTTCGTGGCACGGCCTGAATTAAAAGCAATTTGTCCAGAGATTATATTACTATAAAGATTGACGGTGGTAATTTTTTTTTTAAACCACATACTGAAGTCAAGTGGGAGCTTGTCTGTGCTTGGGGGTGTTTATTAATGAGTGCAGAGAGATCATCAGGCTAGACCTGGGAAAGAATCCACAGATTGAAAGACAGGTTGAAGAAGTTCTCTTTTTGCTTGTAGAAAATACAAGGGGGACGGGCAGGTGGTGCACACAGGGAGGAGACAGCACTGTTCCCCCAGCATTCATAAAGACTGATACTTTTTTAGTATCAAAACGAGAGCTGCTGAGCTAGAAGATATAGTAAAGACTCAGAAACCAGAAATCAAGAACCTAGAGGATGGGCCAGTCATCCAGATGGTGTCCTGCCAAGTGTGGGGCAAGGGCAACGTCCCAGTGCCCACCACCCAAAGAAGGAGGGTGACTTGTCTCCAGACGAGTGCCAAGAAGACAAACCTTCCCTTCGCTTGAAGGTAAGCAAAATGCACTGTTACTCCTATGTGAAATCTTCTCAATTCTACAAAGAAAGTTATTACCCTGGATGGGCTAAAGAAAACATATCTGCAAGCAACCTCTGGCCCAAGGACAGCCAGCTTTCAACCTCTGATCTTGGCCCACCAGCTCTCAAAGCAGCTAGGGTTCAAAGTGAGAGAACTGTTTCCTGCTCACACACGTGGCCAGGGCAGGAGCTGGATCTCGGGCAATTAGCTGGCAACTCTGTTTGGAGCCATCTAGAATGAAATCACTTCCATCATTCCCCATTCCACCACTGTCCGTATTCCACAACCAGGTATTAGAATAAAAAAATCCTTTTCAATCATGACACTCTTTGATCAGTCTTTCTCCTAAAGGTCATATGAAATATATTTACATTTCAAAAATGTTGTGCAGAACCTTATTTTTAGTAAGTCTTTTTAAGAAAAAGTCTTTGGTTGTACAGTTAATGTGCTTGGCTGGTAAATGAAAGTTAAAAGTTCAGGTTTACCCAAAGACACCTCACAAAAAAGGTGTGACAATCTTCTTGCAAAAAATCCTAGCCACTTTTCAGAAAATGAACAATGGAGTTGTTTCTATCTTTTTGCTATATTATAAAAAAATCTAAAATAAACATGGATGGGCAGGAGGGACCAAAAACCAGGCACTGAAAACCTTAACACGTACAGTCTACCCTCACAAGTGGGATGACGGTGAGTGGGGGTCAACAGGACAACAACTGACACGAGAGGATGAGTCTTCTGTAAACATTGCCAGAATTTAACACCAAACTCCCAAAAAATATCATAGAAAATAAACATACTTTCAAATGGTAGATTAGACTAAATTTGAATGAAGTGACTTTTCTACTTTCAATGAACCAGATAAAATGAACAAACAGAAAGCCTGAAAACTGTCTACGAAGAGCAGTTCCCCCTCAGTGTGCCAGTTACCCGATACAGAGAGACAGGGCTGAAGCGCAGGTCTGTCTGGCTTAGAACAATCCAGGCTCCTAAGCACAGAGCTGCCCTAAGTTTTAAGTGTAAAAGATAAAGTCCTGTGACCTGCGATGGGCTGCTGATCCTACGTGGCGTTTATCTGGAAATGGGGGAAATATTTACTATACTGTCCATACGTTTACCACATTCATATTATAAAATACACAGTCATTTTATACACACACATATGCAGAGATAGATAAAACTACCTACTAATACAACCCAAGAGTAAAATGCTCAAACATTCTCTCTTCTGTCCACTTCAGAAAAACAAACTCTCAGCGTCATCAATTAACAAAGTTGCTGCAGGTCCCTCTTCTCCCATTTGGTTAGGGACAACACGCATTTCCGATGGATGGCATTCTTCCCAAGAGCCCTGCAGACGCCAGATCCCAAAAACCACCACAAAGAGTTAACCATACAAAAGGGGGTGGGGGGCTGCCTTTCAGGTGGCAGCTGACACACACACAAATCTAAAGCATCTCACTTATTTCTACAGACAGGGCAGCCCTCTCCAGGCCCAACTTCTGAACCTCTCTCCACTTGAAGGTTTCAGATTCTCCTGTCAAAACAATTTCTCTGCCAGCAGGGCAGATGCTGTCAGAAGTATTTCTGCACCTTTCAG